CCCCAAAACCCCAAAACCCCAAAACCCCATTAACCTAAAATAATGGAAATTTATAAGATAATGAAAGTATCCTCTATATTTTTCTTACAATATTTAAAATCATTTCTTCTTTTTATCAACCACAAATCCATGGTTCTCTGGATATAAGGGATATCTCTCAGGAAAATTTCCTAGTAGATCAACCATCTCCTCGTAATACTACAGCAATATAGAAGGTTCCTTCTACTTCAATATATCTAGTGGGACATAAGAGTCTTATGGTTAATCTCCATTATTAAGGCACTGCCACTGAACTTTGCACATTAGTTAGCCTGAATTTTTACTCTTTGTCATGCCTATGACTCTATAAAGCTAATGACCTTTTGCAAATGCACCTTAATCCTGCTTTTTCTTATCATTCAACTTTTAGTTTCTCTTTTTTAATTGATTATTCATGATCACTAGTGGAGCTTGACACTGTGGTTTTTAATGTTTCTCCTCATATTCTTTTATGTAGTCCTATGCCTTTATCAGGCTCTCTGAAAGTTCCCAAGTGCTTTCAGTGGGATACTAATCCCATTAAACCAAATATTGCACTTCGTTTTTGTAATTAGTTCTTTTCCCTAAGATTGAGCGAACAGTACAAACTTCCTTTACTGAGCAATCATCATTATCTCCCGCCATTAATTATTTCCGCTTAGTTAAAATTTATAATCAATCAAACTATAAGTAATTATTAAATCAAGATTACAATTTTTAGTTTTTATTTTAATTATACTCAGAGATTTTAGTTGTAACCAATATGTTATTAATCAATTTATCAATGCATATCAAATTTGATTGAATATTTTCTCCTGTCAATAATCATCGTCACTCTCTTCTCCAAATCTATTCTATTATTAACCTTATCTCTAGTTTTATTACTCCTACAACCTTCTTCTCTCCTCTGCGAAATTCATACCTCTTACATAAGAAAAATTACAAAAGGCAGCTGGATCAACTATTCTATTAATTTCCCTGTTTCTTGTTTCATTCTAAATGGTATTCACTTAAATCAAAATCCTATTTCTCTCTCTATAGAAATCGCAATATAATTCAACTTGTTAAGGATTAAGCTCTGATTAAAATGAAATCAAGTATTCCTTAATACGATCCATTCTGATTTATATGTACTCTATCATACTAAGCAATTGCTGATTGTTATTTAGATTCAATCTGATAAAATTTGTAAGTGCTGCGAAGTCATTTGTCAAGTTCATGTATCCCTAGTTTTCATATTTTTAAATAGATTGTAAAATCCAATCGTTCAAAAATACTTAGTCAAGAGCTCCATAAAGTAGCTGGCAAAAGATGTCTAGTTATGATATTGAAAGCTGTTGTACTTATGATTCTATGAGGCTTGAATTTGTGTAAATATCTAAAATCTATCTGTGAACATATCTAACATTGCTACCCTCTTTAGATTTTAATTCCATAGTTTATACTGAAAGCATTTATTTTTCTCCATTATTCAGCCCTTTAAATTCGTTTATCAAAATTCTTTGAGGATCAAAACTATCAACAATACAGCAGCAATGTTAGTTCCCAGCAAAAATTTACCTCACCTCCTCGTTAAGAAAACTCTCTATCAATGTGAACTATTCTCTCTGCTTTAAATCACCAGCACCTAGCTAACCACTCTTATTCTATCCAATTCCATAAACATTATTATTTTGTTTGAGTGACAAGATGAAATCTGAACCGCAAGCAATCTATTGAATACCTTCATAAGATTCTTCAAAATTGTCAGTTAAATCATACTTCATATCTATGTCTGACTATTGACTTAATTATTCCGTTTCCACAACTTGATCTGAGACTAAGTCAATTTACTTTGTTTCAAGATTGATCTTGTAAATTTTGTGCTTTTCAGTAAGGATGACAGCGATTTTACCACCACAATCATAACTTATGGGTCTGTCATAGGCAAAAATATTAGAATATGATTTTGCAATAGGATCTCCGTTACCCCAGAAGAGTATATATGGGGATTTGTCAATCAGCGCTAAGTTCTGACTACTTCCACATACTATGTCAATATATTTGAAGCCAATATCATACCTTACATCCTCATTTTATCCTGATTTACTTTCCTCTGGTCTTCTAATCTGAATCATTTAACTATCCTCAGATTATTCAAGTTAGATTTTCCCTCCAAATATCAATGGTGAAAGTGATTCTTTCATTTCTTTACTATATCCCAATTAGCAGCCTGTATTTGATCCCCACATAAATAGTTAACCAGTAACTGATATCGCACTTGAATGAGCAACTCCTGCTGAAATTTTCTTGAAAAAGATTTTTTCTAGACTTGATATTAGCTGTGGTTCTATTGAATTTTATCTTAAATTATGACCTAATTATCCTGAGAGCCCATATCCCCATGAATAAATTTATCCCATATCATTCAATGCTAAAGTATGAGATGAGCCCGCTTATATATCTATGAAACTCTACTCGATTTGAGTTTAAACAAGTCTTGGTTAGATTACTCTTCCATATTTTAAAGCCTCATTTTATACTTATGGGTGAACATATTATCCCCAAAAATAAATTTTCCCTTAATTAGTTAATGCTACAGTATGATTTGCTCCGCATGCAATCTGCTTGATTTTTATATTTGATAAAGCAGTTACGAGAACTGGCCTTGTTTAAATATCTTAACATTCAGGCACACCTAGCTATCCTTAAAGTCCATTGCCCCAAGCATAAACTTGACTTAGGTTTTATCTGTTAGATTTAAGCATTACACTTTTAAATTATTTCGGTTCTTTCTCTTTCACTTAATTAGGTCTAATGATTTATGAAGTTTACCTCATTGACTCTTATTTTGCTTGTTCTACTAGTGATGCCATTTTCATTTTCTCCTATACCTAGTAATTTCTTTCGATAATATCTAGTTCCTCTTTTTCTTTTTTTATCATATAATCATTTATCCAGTCTAAAGCGTTTTATACTTCTCCTATTGGAGAGTATTTAGGCTTTTATCTTAAAGCAGTCAATGCCCTTATAACCATATCAAATTCATATCCCATCTCTACTAGCAATGATATTGATTATTGGTTCAAGTCTTAAGCATCTAGTGATTCTCTAAGAGGCTTTATAGAGCCATCAGCTTAAACACCTATCACATCTCCAGGTATTAAGTTCTTTGCCTCTTCTTGTTTTACTGGCTAAGATATCTTTTGGACAGGTTGAATCACGTTTTTTTATTCTACCAAAGCTTGCTTTTGCTATTCAGCTTTTTTTATGGGTTCTGGTACTATCTGCTATTATTAAGTAGGAACTCTTCTTTTTAAAGTAAATATAATCTTAGCCCCATCTTTTACGCTTTATTCTTCAAAGCTCAAATCATGATTAAGATTTCTGCCACTAACCAAAAAATTGGCATCTCTAGCACAAAAATCTTTTATACCCATGATATTTATCAAAGTTTATGCGAAATCATGCACTTTTTAATAGCAAGGAACACTCATTTCTACCTCTCTTTTATGAATGGCTTGAATATTCATCGGTTTCAAGAAAATCTTGATTTCATTAGTGAGCTCTTCTTCCCCCGATTCATTTGTCATATCAGTATCGCCCTTTTTTTGCATCTTATATTTTAACTTAATTCTTATTTTTTCGAAGATATTTTAGTCATGGGGTTTTGGGGTTTTGGGGTTTTGGGG